ATTTACGAAAAGATCTGTTCACGAGAGTTTCGTTTAAAGCGTTTACCCATGTTATACGCTTTGGTGATCGATGATCGGCTGGAGTATAAGTGACGGGATCTCATCTAGATAAATATCTACAGGAGCATGCTAGTAATAGCAAGCAAACTAGAGAGAGAAAAAGAGAGAGAGATAGAGACACGCGAACCTAACATTCAACATTTTTCTACTTTCACCAAAAAAGAGGACTCAACATTTGATACACATAGTGTATCAAAAAAATTAATTCGCATATTAATTATGTAATCTCTACAAATTTTTGTTTTAGCAGACATCAAAATTTACATTAAAGAGTTAATTCTTTTATTTTGAGAGACGATTTCTATCCAGTAAATATTAGATGTTTTTTTTTTTTATTTTGATTCTACAGCACTAGATATCTTTGTAATAACCTTCTACAAATTGAAAATTTGTTGAAAATAATCTGTTCATAATTTTCAAAAATCAAACCTTTATCATATATACTTTAATTAAAAAAAAAAACATGGATTTAATATCATTTATAATCATTATTATCGGTATTTAAAAATGTGCATATAGAAGCATTTTTTTTATTTGTAGGAAATTTCTAATATTTGAAAAAATCCAGCGACATACAAAAATAATGAAAAGATTTCAAAATGGCGAAATCCTGTTTTCTGGCAATTACTACGAGCATTCAGAATTATTCAGGAATCTACCAAAAAAATTTTCTCTAAATCGCAAAATAATTTTTTAATTCACATCTAATAAACACTTTCGCATTGTCTCGATGCGTTCCCTTCCATTCCTCTCGCCAGTTTTTCTGTGGATCCCCACTTTCCTTTACGAAAATCCTCCGACCGGTAAAATCACGTAATCAATGATGACCGGTGAGTGATGTCAGTCTTGGTGGAGTTACAGAGTGGTACTTATTGCGGTGTGAGTCGAGTGAGAGTGGTGGAGTTAGAGCGATTTAAGAGGCTTGTTTATACCTTGCATCCGAAGGCGACGAGTTTAAGGATGCACTCAATGAGGAAAAGGAGGGTGACGACCAAGTTCACGATGGTCAAGAAGTCCAATAAAACTGGCGGCGCTTCGTGATACTACAAAATACACCCAACACACAGACGTAACACAACCCAAATTCTAATAATTCCATTGTGCGCCCTGCATATTATCAATATATATCTCTTCGTCCTCTTTCGATTAGTCTTCGATCGCTCTCTTCATTTGTTTTTTTTTTTTTTTTTTTTCGAGCGAAATCGCTATCGGATTTATAGAAGCAATATTTTTCCACCGAGATAAATTATTTAGCCGAGAAATACGCTTTCTTACGAGACGAAAGATATTTCTCGAATTACTGTTACTTTTACTCTTCTCAATGCAACTCGTTATTATAGTTCTTATCCTTTTACGTTTCTAAAACTTCCTCGAAACTTCTATTAAATGATTCATATTTTGATTTTATTAATCTTTCGTCGGTTTAAAAAAAGTTTATATTATACAGAGAGGAAGATTTCCCGATCGCTCCGGCGGCTATCTTTCAAATTACTTATTAAATCAATATTGTATGCTATTTTCAATTATATTGCATTATTATACATAACAAAAATGTTGACAATCATCAAATTTTATCAAAATATTGCAAACTTACGTTTTTAACACATCATTCCTTAAAAAAAATTGTTTCATCATATTTATTTATCGTATCGTTTTACAAAATAAAGTTATCATTTGTAAATCAAATTCAGTCTGACTGTAACGAATTCTTCTAAACGGAAAGAAGCATTTCTTCTCCTAGATAATCAAGCAAATCTAACCAATCTCCCACAGAGTAATTTTCGTAATACTCGTCGTATATGTGTATAGATCTCGATCGGTGTGTGTACGTTGAATACGACGTTTAATTCTGTGTGTGCTGAATGTGTGCTGGTGTGAGACGGAAGTTTATGCTCTTTTTTTTTTCCACAACACATTAGCATGCGTGTGACGGATGGGAGCGAGGAGCGCCAGCGGCGCTCTCCTCAGCTTTAGCCTCATCGTGTGAGATCACCATAGATCATTATCATCATCATCATCGTGATCGTCATCATTGTCATCATCATTATCATCGTTACTGTCATCGCCACCGTCATAATTCCCGGTCCATAACACACAGTCATAATAATCGTGATGTATACGCATGCGAGGATCGAAAAACATATCAGACGTGCAAGTGATTGCATGCGGATGCAGGCAAGACGGCGGGCAAGGCATGCAAGGGGTGTCGAAAAACGGAATTTCCTTTCTGTACACCTTTCTCCGGTATGCGAGACTTCCTCTTGGGTTTTATCCCCCGTGCTGAGAGTTCTCGAGTTTCGAGAGTATTTTCGGAAAATCAAGACGACGAGCGCGCGAAAACGTAACACACAAGAAGACAGAAAGAGAGAAAGAGAGAAGAATGAGAGGAAGAGACAGATAGAGAGAAAGAACGCGACAGACAAACTGAAAATAACCCGATGTGAGATTTATGTTCTCGGATCGTCGTCATGTTGGATACTCATGAGTGCTATATGATGATGTGTGACGTATGAATCTATGTCCAGGTATTTGTTAGTAATTGTTGATCGTGTATGTATGTGTGTGTGTGTGTGTGTGTGTGTGTGTGAAAACTACGTCTCGATTACAGCTTTAAGAGCATGCTTATCAGCGAATCACGAATTTTGTACAATTATATCTGTTATTTCTGTAAATAACTATATATAATAAATAAATAATTTCTGTTATATCTGTAAATTGTGACATGAAGAATTAATAATAATTAATAGAACATTACGTTTTCGCGGATAAACTTGCTCCAATATTTTATTCTGCGACTGAATATCTATATTCGACAAATATCGATATAAATACTCGATCGTAGTCCAAATTTTTTTAGTGCCTGTGTAAAGTGAGAGTAATTAGCTTCTGATAACGGGATAAAATGGGGGGAATGAATTGGTGTCATAAAAATGCAAGTTAACGTTGCTTACAAAAAACAAAAGCGCAATGTCAAGTTTATAATTAATACTTTCATTCCGTTATCGTTGTGTTTAGTGTAGTTATGAATGTAGGAAATCTGGGAAGATTTTCGCGTATATCATTACATTATTTCCCTTACGGCGTTCAATTATACAAATATCGTTATCAGATATTCAATTATCTGTGATGTTATTTATATAAAAATTCATTTATTAAATATGATTTTTATACGAAAGAGCCATCAATATTTTTCTTTAAAAATAGAAAAGCTAAAGTAAAAATAATGAAATAAATAATACAATCAAAAAATAAATGCAAAAAATGTGAGAATAAAATATTCATATTCTCACGGTTAGCGCAAAATTTTATTAAAATAAAAAGGAAATTTTTGGGCTCAGATTTAAAAGTGAAAAAGCGTAAATCTTATTTAAGATCAAGCTGAGATTTATATTACGTTTTGTATTTTCCCAGATTGCCCTCGAAAGCTCGATCACGTGTACAGAGCTGAGCATTTTCTGCATACTAAAGTACTTGTAGAGTTTTATCTTACTGGTTTCAACAACAGAACAACGAGTACAAGTAATAAAAAAAGAAGTTCTATCTATAGATCTTGCAGCTATGTCCTTACATATAAAAGAGCACCATTGAAAAAAAGAAAAAAAATACCATTCTAATTCTATCGAGATACATATCTATATATGTTCGTACGAGGTATATCGAGAAATGGAAACGCTACAACTACTCCGACAGCATCTAGCGCTTGTTCAGCCCTGCGCACAGAAAGTTCACTAAATAGTATATTCTATATACTTGTACACGCGAGATATAGAAAGTAGATACGAATGTCTCCGGAGTACCGAGAGTATCCGGCACGTAACATTGCTACGTCGGTACTCGCGGAGGAACGCTCTAAAATTACTTTCTAATAAGCGGCACTTACCGGGCGACGCAAAAATTGATCCTCATGATGCTTCTGCGATCTTCATGATCAACTTATTGATACTAATATGAAATTCGTCGCATTTATATCATTCACATTCAATTCTACAATAATTATTGGAACAATTTAACGTGTTCTCTTCATCATTTCACGATTTCTTTTCATCACATTAAATTAATAACGCATATTTAATATATTTTGATCATTGAAATTTCCATGATTTTTATATCTAATTGTCGATTAATTCAATAGTAATGAGAGAAATTCACAAGTTTTCGATTTTCCAATTTTGAGGAGCAATCGTGAGGGGTCAGTTTTTGCTACTCGACCTGGCGAGAATGTTTCAACTTAAATCTCGCTATACTCGGAATATACTGAGAGCTCGATGAGAGAGGTGTTGACAGTATGTGGAGCCTACCTTTACGCCGAATGCGGCGATCTTCAGAATGCACTCGACAGTGAACATCCCCGTGAAGCACATGTTCATGTACTTCAGCGTGTTCTTGTACGATTCGCTTTGCCGATGGAACTGCAATGCATACACTGACAAACACACGGCCGACAGACAGACATACGTACAAGCCTATAAAATCGCGTATCTCGTGTGAACGAGATTTTCTCTCTTTTTTTTTTTATTCGCCAATACGATCCTCTTTCCTCCTCCGACCGCTGTCAGCGAGGAAGAAAGAAGCGGCTCCATTTTCCCTTTCTTTTCCACGCCGGAACTCTGTGCACCGATGCATGAACATATTGTGCCGAACAATAGATACTTGAAAAAATGGGGCGAACTCGCGTGTCGGCAAAATTAACATCGCGCGAAGATAAAATAATATTTAATTCAATGAGGGCAAAAAATAATATTCAGTCAAGTTCGGTTTGAGATTGTTGTGTCATCAAATTCAGAAATTTCCTTCTGTGTGATTAAAAATTTAATTAACTAACTTAGTAGAATTACCTAATGTCAGAAAATGAATAATTTCACATTAAAAAAAATTATATTACAGAAGGAATTTGGATTATACAATTATGTGTACAAATTACTTTCGCTTATCGCGATAAACGTTACGCTAAGTAGTTTTACCAACGTTTTAATCCGACGAAATATTAATCCCGCCGCGCAGCAGTATCACTCCTTTCGTGCTGCTTTGTTTGCATAGTTGTTGGAAAAACTACGAATAATTATGAAACGTAATACCATAGTAAATTTGCTCGAAGTAAAAAGAAGTAAATGATAAAATCCCGAATGAATCACTCGAGAATGATTTGCGGATCATATTACGAGTCAGCTACGTGTGTCACGAATTGGTGCACAGTTTTAGTCATCTGGCGTGTCAAATAAAGTGCGAGAGATATGCGATAATTACGTAAAACACATCGTGATCGTACACGCCATCTTATAGCCGAAAAAATGCGGGGAGGACATTTTTAATATATCGTCGTATATAACTTATACGTGTATACGGGCCTATTTCGGTGTGTGTACGAGTATTCTTAATGAAACGTTTGTTCTCTTATTCCTGCGATATTGACTGGTCTTTCAACGAGTGTGGTGCACATGTCGACTGTGTATACGTGGATATACCAGTACCTGCGTTACTTCGCGGTCGTGCATCTCTTTTAATCGATTCATTAATGAGATATCGGCTACGTACTGGTATAATTAATGATTAATTGGTCTGCTGTCAATGGATACTAGGGAACTTCCTGAATGATGGACTCCGCCGGAAGCAACGATGGGAAGAAGACCGTGTAATATCGTGCAAACGCTTCGAAAGATTTCGTGTCACAATTTTTGTTGCTTCAACAAACCGTGAATTTTAAATCTTAAAATTCACACAATATTATTGTGGCATTTTGCTCATATTCAACGAAATCTAAGATAAAGAAGAAATCAATCGAAATTCCAACGCAAGATTAAATTAAAATTCATTACTGAAGATAAAACGTAAGCGTAAAGGAGAGATCATAGAGCTCGATTACTTTCTTCTCGCCACCGTCTCCCACGGAGTCTGGACCAGAGGTTGGACACGTATACGATAGTATCTAACGAAACTAGTCGCAAAACCGATAAAGACTGTGACAAAGAAAAAAAAAAGAAGAGAAAGAGATACGATCGAAGGAAATGTAAAAAACAATCGAACAAAGACACTTAAAGTAAGTGAATTTCCGGAACAAAAGGAGTGCAGTTCAATTAACGAAGGGATAGTCAGGAATTACGAAACTTCACTTCTCAGAGTGCTCAGATCTCTGCAATCTTGTTCTTTTTTTTTAAGGTTTT